ATTTATACACACACACACACACACACACACACACACACACTAGTAACCCGATGCACAAAGATTCGTGCAAGAATTGGCCTTCCTTCCCCTGGCTGCCGCACCGCCTTCGCTCCGGGCACTTCCTTCCCCTGGCTGCCGGCACCGCCTTCGCTCCGGGCGGAGCCGCCTTTCCTTCTATTCTAAGTCCTACAACACTACTAATTCTCATCGCTGTCTCCACCAGAATGCACAAATTGGCTTCTGCTCATAACTGAGATGGGGAAGCCAAATGACCACGATCACATGGTAAGAAGAGAAATGGAGTCTGGACTGGCTTTCTCAGGCCCATGGTTTTAACATCAGAACCCTACCACCTTTGCAAAATACATTCAGGTTGGTCCACCCCAGCTCAAAGCTTGCCTGTGTCTCTGTTAGAAAGCACAGTGCATGTGCTGAAGATGTCTGCTCCAATGTGCCCACCTCCAAAATGCAACCACAAACAGCCATCAAGGCCGTGAAAATCCGCCCCTCACCCAACTGTTTCACTGAACGGGCATATCTTCCTTAACTGAGCACTTTATCCCCTCAACAGCCCTTCCCCATGATTTACTGTCTTTAGATTCTCATCATGTCCAATTTACAGAGTAAATATCAAATTTCTAGTTCAATTATGTGGGATTTTCTAGTATAGTGAAGAAACACCAACCCATGACTTGCCTTACATTTTCCCCATTCCACTTTGAAATGAGAGAAGCAATTCAACCGCAGGTTCCTTATTTTAAACTGCTGCATTTAGCATAGCATGAAATTAATCCTTCTTTGGTACTGTACCCATCTCTACACACCTCAGGGGACTTTACACGAGGGCAGTTTGTTCTTCACACATTTGTTAAATTAGAATAGGAAAGCTAGGTGTTAAACTGCTTCCCAAAAGTTCATCACGTAACTGTGGGACAATCTAGCTTTTGAGTACTGAAGCCCCAAATGCCATTCCACAGTCACTACACTGAAGAGAAGTATGACAGAGGGAAAGTCAGAAGGGGAAAAGGCTGTCTTTATTGGCTGCAATAAAATATCTTACTTCTGTGTATTCTACAGTAAATCCATGCACCACCTTGCTGGGCCATTACAGGGCCTTGGGAGAAGCCTGTGCAATCAAGAGGCCCTGTAATTTAAGGACGATATTCAGTCTCAAATAAGCACAGAGCCTAAAAAAGAGGTCAACTCCAAAAGAAGCGTGCCTGGAAAAGGACTGAACTGGAGACCAAAAATGATCCTATGGGTCACTGTCTTTTAATCAATAACAACAGTTAATTGTAGCTTCATTCTTAGCACAGAATTACATCATTAATAAATATCTCTGGAACAAGTGAATTGGCATAGGACTGAGAGACCAGAGACCTGGGTGCTGCATTATCTATGGGATCTTAGGCAAGTCCCTTCTTCTTAGGTTAAGAATAAACAGAGAGAGAAGGGGACCTTTATTAAGCAACTAGTATATGCCAGACACCTAAGAGATGCAGTGTCATTTGAGTCCTGACAACCCTATGGGGCAGAAATTTTTTACAAACCAATCTTTACAAGGCTCAGAGATGTGAAGTAACTTGGTGGGGTTACAAGCTAATAAATGATAAGGCAAGTACTTGAGTTTAAGTCTGTTTAGTATCAAAGACCAAATAGGACCTATACCATCTATTGCAGCTTGAAAATCTCATGTTTCTCTAGATCTGGAACAAAACACTAAAGTTCAATAATTTTCTCCAGCAATCATTCTTGCTTGTTTCCTACACCCTCTTCCAGATAAATAAAAGTGCTGTCATAAACCCACTGTCCAAATCCATATAAAGGATTATATCTGTAGTACCTAAAATGAAAAAAGTTATAGTCCAACCTACTAGACCAGCAGCTCTCAAACTTTTTGGTGTTAGGATTTCTTTGTGCTTTTAAAAACAGTTGGGAACCCCAAAGAAGATTGTTTATGTGAGATACACACACAATTTATTGTATTAGAAATTAAAACTGAGGAAATCTGAAAACACAAGAACACATTCCATCTGCTGTGAGAGTGATGATGTCACCCATGTCATGGAGCTTGTCCACTTGTGAAAGAATAAGAGTGGGGAAGGGAGGTGACTTAGTATTATTATGAAAGTAATTTCAACCTCACAGACCCCTGAAAGGGTCTCAGTGATGTCCATGGTCCCTGGACCACACTTTGAGAACCTCTGTGCTAGACTGTTCTGGATTGGGTAGCACAATCCAGGGAAAGTCTGAACAAACCGGAAGACAGTTTGGGAGGAGTTACAAGAATAGTGCAGGCACCTGAATCCAGGATTTCTATAAGAACGCTTAAGAAATAAAATGTGCCACTGGTCAATGTATTGCCTCTCAGCTTCAGTTTCACCCTTCACTGCCCTAACTGCGATGCTGGAACTGGGGCCTGCAAACAGTTAGTTTCCTTTGCCAGCTGGCACCGTGCTAAGCTCTGGCAGTAGAGGGTGCTGGAGGGACACTGCCGGAGGAACGGGCTTTTCTTCCTGGTTCTGGGTGCTTTGTCACTTCTTGCTCCTTCTGTACTTGGCCAGCTGACAGGCAGGCAGGGGCATTTATTGCCAGCAAGTTTAACTGCCCCGCCCCCCAGAGGCAGCTTCCCAGCAGGTTCTGCAGACACCCCAACCAGCTACCCAGTGAGTTCAACAGCCCCTCTGTAGGCAGCTTCCCAGAAAGTCCTAGGGATACCTCCAAGAGCAACGCAGCTGAGGCTCTGCCCACGTGGTTCCCAGTGAGCTGCCCTGAAGCCCTCACCAGTTTCCGAACAAGGTCAATGATACCCCCTGGGCAGGTTCCAGTGGAGCTCCAAGGGCATCCAAGGAGACGGTTAGTTTCTTGCTGGCCAGACCTGGCCTGTGGCACGCCTCAGCAAACCTCACCATGCAGTGAACTGCATGGTCTGAATCTCAGACCTAGCTGGAGAAGGGACGCTCCCAAATTTGTTTTCTGTAATCGTTAAGAGTTCTTTTTACCCCTTAGTCACCAATGTCCTGTTACTAGTTAACAGTTCTTTACATTAAACTTCTCCTGTTCAAGTTACTGTGAGGTTTCTGTCTCCTCCCTGGACCTTAGCTATACACCAGGTCTTATCAGAGAGGCTATCAGATGAAAAGGGAATTGTTCTCTATGGCCTCTAAAGTTAGAACCATGACCAACAGCTGGGTGAAAGTTACAGGAAAATTGATTTAGACTCAAAATAGGTAAGAACTTTCTCATGGCATAAACTGTTTAAGATGGAATTAAATGCCTTCAGCAACAATATGGGATTTTGATTCTGTTTATAAAATCAGGACAAAAGCATGAGGTAGGAAGAAAAAATTGGTGGGAAAGTTTGTTTCTTTTTTTCTTCCACTGGTATTTTCCAAAGAATAGATTTACAGTGGAACCTTGGTTCTCGAACTTACTTTGTTTCTGAGGGCTGTTCAAGAAGCTAATGTTGAAAAACAGTAATTTTTTCCCATTAGATATAATGTAAATTGAATTCATTCATTCCAGACCCCCAAAGAATTCCCTGTTTTAACCTTTCTTATATACACTACATGCTTAATGTACTGTTTAACCTATAAACAAACACTTCTTTTCTTAAATTTATCAAACTATCCTCTACCAGCCTTAAATGAATCACTTTCAGCACTCGGTTCAGGGATGTCTTTCAAGTCAGAATACAGCATTTTTGCTCATTCATATACCACTGCCTCCCAAATGGCTCTCACTGGCTAACTGCTTTTCCTTTATCCAAATCAACAACAGTTTGTTTTTTTTACCTCTTCAATTGCCTGTGATCATTGTTTTTTTTCAGGCTCTTAGCAACATTAGCAGACACTTTTTGTCATGCTGAGGTATCAGCTTGAAAATCCAAGTCTGGTTCGACCACCAAGACATTTTTTCAGTGAATATCTTGGTCGAGAACCAAATTGTTCACGATGGGAGGCATTGGAGAAATGAGGTTTGACTGTACTTCTCTGTTTCTTTTTGAGTCCCTGACAAGGACCTAGTTCTTTTACATAATCCCAAATCGGAGAACTGAGAAGACATGATGATTTTCCTACTGCTCATGGGTGATCTTTGCACCCAGTGGGGCTTAGTGCAAAGGGCATGAACTTTAAGATCCAGAGAAGCCTGTGTTTATTTCTGACTCCACTATTTGCAGTGTTGTGGTTCAGGCAAATTACTCAACTAATCTGAATTTCATCCTAGAAAAGTGGGGATAATAACAGCTTTCTCATAGAACGAGAGATAATATATGTAAAGCACTTAGCACAGTTCCTGTTCCTGGGATAGAGAAGGCATACAATACATGGTTATAATAACATCGTATCACTATCTTCACAAGTGGATTCTTATGATCTTTACTTCTCTACCAACAACCCGAAGAGGTGTAGAGAGAGGACATGTGGTGACATCTTAAGATGCAGAAGGAAACAGTGTCATAGCCAGAAGTACTCAGGCCCTAATTCCGTCACTTAGCCCAGATGGGGTATTTTTCCTTACACCTTTAAATTCTAAATGGAACAGTTGGCCCTGTATCCTGTGCCTCATCCTGTGGCTCTGTAGATGGCAAAATAAAAATGTCCCCTTCCATTCACCAACAAAGAAGTCTAAAAAATAGGATTTTCACACACACTAAATTTATGAAAAACACACAGCTGAACTAGCTGACCCGGTAACTTCACAGTTATGAGGTTTAGTTCAGCTCGAAGCAGGAAAAAACCTCCTTGTGTTAAGGATTTTTAAAAAATGTGTCTAGATTAACAGTTTCTCCATGTTGGGTGCCAAGGGAGATGTGAGCAAAGAGAATTTTTCTCCAGCTTGGCAAAGGTACCGCCAAATGTTCAGGCTGAGTGAGGATGACCGCAGCCCATCACGGCGGTCATTGTCACAAACACAACCACAGGTCCATACACGAATGGTGAGATTATCTCCGCGCAAACCTGGAGCTCACTTCAGGAGGGCTCGGCTGCTTGGTGTCCACCTGGCCCCCAGGATCCTAATCCCCGCAGTTGCAGAATTTAGCTCTAAAGGAAGGTAGCTGCTGCTTCCACTTCCTGTTGCCCCCTCAGAGCTGACCATCCTGACAGACGCAGCCAATCCCATTCCTCCTGCTAAGAACTATGAAAGTTGCGAGGTTAAAAAGCTGGGAGCTCTTGAGATCAATTCAAATTTTAAACTGACATCAGTTAAAAAAGAAGGCTGAGGTCAACTTGACTGAAATGGACAATGGAACGGCTTCCTTCAAACTGAGGCCAAGGGCCAAGCCAAATAACTCCTGGATCCATCAAGCGGGGAACTGAAGAGTTGGGGAGCAGGAAGGCAGGGCTGCCTTTTTGTTCTGACAAGGCTCAAAACCAACGTGACGAAAGCTCACTGGAAACTTCTCTTGCCTTGTCTAAGTATTTATTTAAACTTCAAACCAAGCAATTTAGACTTAAATGTAACCAAAAAGAAAAAAAGTATTTGGTTGGATTGGAAAGTGAAAAAAAAAAAAAAAGGGGGGGGGGGGGGGGGGTTGACTACACTAATCCTCCCAGCAGCAGACATGCTAACCACAATATTTATCTTAGTAAATGTAGAGAAAGTGAAAAACATCACTTCTGCCTCTAATATTTCAAAGCCGTGGATTTGTTTTTTAAAATACATATATGTTACTAATGCTATACACACACAAAAATCAGATGACTTTGCTGGCACGAGAGCCAGAGCTGACAGCCCCATTTACCAACTGAACAAACACCCCCCAGAAGATTAAACATGGTTCATGCTCTCCCCAAACAACCACACTGCTGAGGCCAGAGCCCTGACCTAAAAACCACTGTTAGAAAAAGGCTGGTCCAGTCTCTAAACGTGTCAAAATTAGGAGCCAAAATATTTCAAAAATAAACTAAACTCTTGGTCATAAAATTAACCAGTACATTTTAGTAGGGTCTACCAAAACTCAAACTGAACACCCTGCTCCGAAACCTAGCTTCATGCTATTGCATTTAGCTATGTCAACGTGGGGGCTTGGACCAAGAAGGACGAAAAAGATCTCTCCTTTCGCATAGTTTGCAATGAATACTTGCCCAAAAGAAGGGGCTCAAATTCACAATAAATAATTTACCTCAAGCCCAAAGTGGCTAACCAAGCTTTCCAAGGAGAAGTCCCTTTTACATTTAGCACTGGACTTTGCAACTCTGCCTCTGGGCAGGGAGGGGGGCTGAGAGGCCCTCTGAAAGCCGGTGGCCTTTGTGAGTAGGAGCAAGTGCATGAGCTGATTATGAATGACACCACCTGCTTTCTAGAGCCGAGGCATACACAGCCCTCCTTCTTAAACATGGCCCGTCCTGCCCTGGCTGGTTTGGCTCAGTGGACAGAGCATCAGCCTGCGGACTGAAGGGTCCTGGGTTCGATTCTGGTCAGGGGCACATGCCCAGGTTGTGGGCTCAATCCCTAGTGGGGGATGTGTAGGAGGCAGCCGAGCAATGATTCTCTCTCATCTTTGATGTTTCTATCTCTCTCTTCCTCTCTGAAATCAATAAAAATATATTTGAAAAACAAAAACATGGCCCATCCTTTATCAATGAAGAGACTAATTAGCAATACAGCACCATCCAATCCACTTCACCTTGCGGGGGAAGGGAACAACTGTACTGATGAATCCAAGGCAGCTGTTAGAGGCCCTCCCGTGCCCCTCCCTTGCAACTCCTTTTTTGTCTTCTCTACCTGTTCCTGCCTATCAGTCTCTTCCTTCCTCCTTACATGATGACACCACCTCCCTTTTTGTTCTACCCCCTGTTCCCCTTTATTGAGCATCAAACAAAACAAAACAAAATTAGAAGCTGAGAAGAAAAAAGATTGACATAAAAATATAGTTAACAAAATTTTTTTTAAAAACATTGATGTTTCTATCTCTCCCTCCCTCTCCCTTCCTCTCTGGAGACAATAAAAACATGTTTTAAAAAAAGCAGTGCGCTTCGGGACAAAATGCAGGACCTTCATTTAAAATGCTACTTTGTTAACTCACACACACCTTGGCTCCCTAAATCTAAAAAGAAAGTACATGATTCTCTCAGAGAACAAAAATACCACTCAGTGAAACATTTTAAGTGTCTCAGGAGGAACTAAAGAATTTTTGTGAAGCAATTTCTGATTTGCCTAACAGACAGAAGCATAGTCTTCTTCCAGCCTAGACTACACATCGACTACTGGGAGTTTCCAGAGTTGACTGTCCCGACTCCAGTATAACCAATTAAAAGGGACTAGCCATACAAAGTGCAGATACTACTGTCAGGCAATAAACTAGACCTTATCGGTGATAGTGGTGCACATTACAAACTTCAAACTGACTCCGTGCTCTAATCCATCAGAAACTTCCTGGCTTTAATAGGCTATAAAGGGCAGGAGCTTTGAAGTCCCTGGGATTAGGATCAGTAGTAGACGGACTGAATGAGAAACTAAATGGAGGTGGGACATACTCTATGCATTCTGAATTAAAAACAAATCCAATTAATCAAATCATCCTGGGCCCTAGCTGCCAGCCAGCAGATTGCAAGGGTGGCCAAGGCAAGGAACAAAGTGATTAAAGATGAACCAATGGGAACTGCAGCAAGTGCTCACTTAAGGAACTGCTTCGAAGTCTGGGAGGGCATGCTTTGCTGACTTCCCCAACAGAGGTGAGGCCATCCTTTTTTTTTTGAAGAGCACAGTATCAGAGCCGAGATAAGGAAGGAGAAAACAAATGCCTTTTAAACCGAGTTTTCATGTAAACAAATCAGCTGAGAGGGCTGAGGGAAGCTGAGATCTGTTTTCCCAAGGCCGATGGGCTTTGATCCTACTGATTCCTAAGCCCTACCACTGTGGCTACAGAACAAGCCATGGGCTTGGAGTTAAATGGGCCATTCTAGAACAAGAATGAAATGATTGATAAAACTGGGGTCAAGCTGCCTCAGAAATGGCATTATTGCTGACAAAGTGGAAAAATTCATTTAAAACAAAGGAGGCAATTAACTTAGCCATAATGGATCCAGCTGAAAGTTGTACTAACACCCAAACCACCAGGCCTTTTCCTGAACACACCACCTCCCCACTCTTCTTACCTTCTGGGGGGCTTTTATTCTGATTATTCCAGACGACTAGCAGCTTGGATAGACTGGGCACCTTGGACACTTCTGTGATGACCCGGAAGAGACTCTCCACTCGGTCGTAGGTGAGGACAATGGCGGTAAAACCTTGAGACTGTGGTGGGATCAGTGGGAGGAAGAGTGGGTTGCTCACACTACCCCACTTCTGCAAGAGAATAGATTAATGAGGGTCAGAGAAGGATCTACTAACAACGGGGCTGATCTCTTTCCCAACATCATCAATAAACCCGAACATGGGAGGTTTGGTGGCTTCTACCATGACCAATCCAAGAGCTAAGCAATTTTTCAAAATCTTCCCTTCCTCAACATTCATACTGACTCTCTGTAATTCAGTTTGGTTCTGATACTATTAAAAACAGAGCAGAGAATTGTTGCAGCTGAGGAGAGATTTCTAGCTAAACATGGCAGATTAAACCCATGCATTTATCTCTATCCCCTCCCCAAATCCACTGAAATGACAGTTAATAAATATAACATACAAATCTACATTGACAATGAGACAGGAGAAAGGAGAGCTGCTGATGAGCAATATTAACATGTTTCTCAAAGGGGCCAGAGAAGTGGCAACAGAGTAGGAGAGTGAGAACTGAAACCTAAGGACCTACAAAGGGGAAGCCAACAAGGTTCAAGGTCAAAGTGTTGAACCCCACAAAGGCTCAGGAGTTAAGCTCAGTGGGTACGTTGTGAGGGTAAGAGGAGGGATAGGGTTGAAAATAGGAGGACTGGTTAAAAATCACAGGAGTAACTGAAAAATAAAGAATGATTTTTAAAAAAGTTTCAATTGGAAAAACAACACACACACAAGACACAGATAAGGAGCAGTGAGAGACCCAGATTCACAAGCTTTTCCTTCACCCACCCTAAGGACCTACAAAGGGGAAGCCAACAAGGTTCAAGGTCAAAGTGTTGAACCCCACAAAGGCTCAGGAGTTAAGCTCAGTGGGTACGTTGTGAGGGTAAGAGGAGGGATAGGGTTGAAAATAGGAGGACTGGTTAAAAATCACAGGAGTGACTCAAAAATAAAAAATGATTTTTAAAAAAGTTTCAATTGGAAAACAACACACACACAAGACACAGATAAAGAGCAGTGAGAGACCCAGACTCACAAGCTTTTCCTTCACCCAACACTCAGCCAGAACTCTACTCTTCTCCCCACCCCCGCTCGACAAGGAGGTTTATTCTCTGAGGAAACGGAAGCTCCAGACATGAAACACAGGGCACAGCTGAGAGGAAAATGCAGGTGAAAATCTATATTCTGAATGATGAGCACTACAGCCTTCTTCCCCTGCAGTTCCTAAACCGCAGGCAGCTGTGTGGTGAGCTTGCCACTCGTCATCTTACAGCAAAGCCTTCCAGGCAGTAAGCTGCCCTCATACAAATAACTTCTGATTCAGTTTTTAGTGCTTCTCTCATAACCATGAGCAGATCCTAGAATCACAGACATTTCAAGAACATCTTCAGCATGAACAAAAGAAACCAAATGAACAAATAGAAGAATAGGAACTCAGGAGAAACAGAGACAATAGAAGAGGATAGAAAATACGAGAAACTAGGAGGTCCAACATCCATCTAACAGGAGGTTCCTAAAAAAAAACAAACCACAGAATAAGGAAGAAACAAAACTATCAAAGAAATTAAATAAGTTCTTGGAACAAATGACATGAGACACACCAATTATTCAAATTGAAAGGGTCCAATAAGTAATAGTAAAGTGATTTTAAAAAAAGACAAAACCCAAAACAGAACAATGAATCAAAAAACACAGCTATATCAAAGCACATCACTTCTGAGTGCTGGGAATAAAGTGTAAAAAAATAAATAAAGTGTGTGAATCCAGGTGATGAACATGGGAGTTCGCTGGACAATCCTTGCAGGTTATAGCTCTGTAAGTTTGAAATTTTAAAAAAATATATTTAAAAAGTAATGAAGGACATTCAACTTCTTTGCTACCATTAAAATAAGTAATTTTTATTGCAGCAAAGTAAACAAAAGTATTTTTGTACTGATAATTGGAAAATATTAAAACATTATTACATTTTAAAACAGCTCTATTGAAATAACTCATGCTATAAAATCTACTCATTTAAAGTATATAATAGTTTTTAATATATTACAGTTTTTTAACTGTGGTAAAATATAACATGAAATGTACTATTGTAACCATTTGTAAGTACAATTCAGTGGAATTAATACATTCACATTCATATGTTATTATGGAAAACCCCAGGACCTAACTTCATTTCTGCCAGAAGGCAGTTGAATCTGAAATGTCCTACCTGTTATTCTGGCTGCTTACACTTCCCTAATGTCTTTTATAATCTGGGATTCCCAAGTTCCTCGTCAACCTCATCCATATCACTGATGGACACCCATCACCACGTATATGACAACAGCTGTCTGCCAGATGGAACCATGTAGGACAGGAAATGTACACAAGCATATGGAATACACATGGGATGGGAACTCAAGGAGACTGGATGGTTTTCCCGGAGTCCTAATGTAATCAGGATATTAAAGCCAAAATGTCCACAACAGACCATAATTAGACTTCATAGCTGAGAGACACAATTGGAAAGGCTACCTTCTTAACACTGACTTTGTTTCCATGACATCACACGTTGAATTAAGCTGTAGGCTTAGGAAGGTGCCTGGATTTTAGTATTTATGCCCTAGCATCTGATTCATTTGTAGGAACCCCTTTTAGTTTTCTTCCCCAAACCTTATTCTTTGTATCTTCCTGACTTTTATGGGAACTGAAGTCAGTAAAGCTGCCCTGTGCTCAAGTCATAATTAATCCTCAAGGTTTACCCTCTGCCATCACCATCCCAACCCACTCATCTACTACTCCAAAAACAATACTCTCTTACGCTTCAAAAACACCATTTAAATGCAAAAGAAAGATACGTGATTTTTTTAATCCTCATCCAAGGATATGTTTATTGATTTTAGAGAGAGAAAAAGGGAGGGAGAGAGAGAGATAGATGGAGAGAGGGGGGAGGAGTAAAGAGGGAGGGAGGGAGAAAGAGAGAGCGAGAGAGAGAGGAACATGGATGTGAGGGACAAACATCAATTTGTTGCCTTCCATACATGCCCTGACCAAGAATCGAATATGCAACGTAGGCCTGTGCCCCGACCGGGAATCGAACCCACAACCTTTTGGTGTACAGGACAACGCTCCAACCAACTGAGCCACCAGCCAGGGCAGAAAAAATATTTTTTAAAGAAGTGTGTAAAATAATTTAATGTGTGATGTTCAAAGAGTTAAGATTTACTGAGCACATACTTACAGAGTATTAAGCACTATGCTTTACATGTATTATCTTATTTGAGTCTGACAACAACCCCCAAGACAGATATAGTCATTATTCTCAGTCTATAGATGATGAAATTATAAAATCAGAAAAGTGAATGATGTCTCATTTGCTTTACCAGTCAAAGGAAGGGGAGGAAGGAAGGAAGGAAGGAAGGAAGGAAGGAAGGAAGGAAGGAAGGAAGGAAAGGAGGGAGGGAGGGAGGGAGAATAGGTGATGTTCAGGGTTACATAACCTCTAAGTGACAGATGTTGGAAAAGCCCAAGCCATCTGACTCCAGAACACCAAATGGTGGTGGTTCACGGCCCTTCCCCCGCCCTCCTACTCTGAGCCCGGGTACAGCATCACCATTTTACAGACTTTGGAAACAGGAACTGTGGGTTATTCCAGAGTTCATTATTTCTAGCTCTTCTCTGAGAAAAAAATACTAGAAGTTCTTTATCCTTGATAATAAATCTGCGCCAGTTAGCAACAGCCACCCTACAACTATGATTTCAGAGGGTATAAAACACACCAATGATATAACGCTGACACAAAGGGAGCACATACATTTTAAAAGGCACATACACCTCTGACACAGGAAAAACCATTTAAAAACCAACAAAATAAGGTCTGTTCTTGGGGAGCAGCAGGGAATGCTAACACTTGGATGCCTTTGTGACGTTAAAAGGAGAGGGAAATTCCCTGGGAGAGGAAAAGCTTGGTTTCAGACAAGGAATCCCCTGGGACTGAAACTGAGGCACCCCTGAAAGGCACTGCAGCTCTGATTTCAAGGCCCCGCCAGGCAGAAGGAGCCGAAGTCTCTGGCAAGACCACAGATCTCATCTCATCCCGTATGCCAGCTCCCTCGGAAGAGGATAGTTATGAAGAGAGGAGGAGAGGAAGGTACGGGTGGGTGAGAAGCAGTTACTCGTCTTGGTGTTCAATTTTTCCACACTACTCACTTGCATACCAAATAGAGCTTGAAACGAGAAGCAGGAAAAGGCCACACACTGAGGAGACAGAGCATGTGAAGGAGCATAACAAGGACTGAAATCTTGCCATCACTTTCCCATAAAATACAGACACTGAGATGAACATGGAGGCGACATCTAGCTACTGAGCACATATTTGCTCTGATATAGGCTCCGATGCTTTACTGCAGGATGCGCCCCAGGGTTGATACAAATGACTTAAAAAAGTGGGTCAGCAAGCGCAGTCGGTTTTGGAATCATGAGTCCTTAATCTGAATCCAGGTTCTTTCACTTACATCAGCAGTGTGACCTGGGCAATGTACTCAGCCTTCCTTACACCTCAGTTTCTGTATTTATAAAATCATGATAATATGACTCGTTTTCTAGACGGTATGACTTGACATTGTAATAATTACTTATATTATTATCATTTCTTAATTATTATTTCACAATCCAGAGGTTGTTAATAAAAGTAAATAGGTGTATATGTAAAGTCCCTGGCATGTACAAACATTCAATAAGTGATAGCTAGTACTTGATCTTGTGCGAGTAACAATTTCTCTGGGCTTAATTTTCTGCATGTCTCAAAAGTGGGGGTGCGCAGTAGCCTAAGCAATCGTGAGGTATATCCCAGCACCAAGAATTCTGAATCCTTCGCTGCCTTTATGTTATAATGCTTTTGGGTCATGGTTTACCTGGCTTTTCTACCTCACCTTCTCCAAATAACTGCTTTTCTTTACGATTTTCTCTTTTCCTTCCTATTTTTTATGCTTTTACTATCTGGAAAGCTCCATGAAAGCAGGAGTCATAAATGTTATAACACCCAGTACCTAGCCCAGTGCCTAGTGCTACTCAATAAAACCTTGTTTAGAGTTAGTAAATTAAACCCACATGATGCAGGTCATGTTCTTTCTGTTCTTATGTACGGATGTGAACAGCTGATGTACACTCAAATGAGTGGCATCATGAATTCTGAAATGATTTCCAACTCAGTTCATTCATTTGAAAGTACTTACCAAGAATCTTATTTGCTAAGTATTCTGAAGAAGTGTAGGATTAGGATATTTAACAGAGTTCGACTTGGGCCCTGCCATTGACTAGTTCTAGTAATGTGTAAAGCTACTTCTGTGAGTATTAATTTCCTCATCAATAAAATGGGAAGTGTGGTAGCATCTACCTCCTAGGGTTTTAATGATTAAATGAGATTATGCACAAATACACTTAGCAGAGGGTTCAACATAGACCTCCATGAATGGCAGTTAAAACAAACACAGAAAACGTCCAGCTCTCCCCAGTTTGTATTCTCCTTGCCTGCTAAAACAACGTTATTAGCCATTCACAGCAATCATTCCTGCCAATGTTATTTCTGGTGCTCATTCATTCAGGCAACGTTTCCTGAGCACATACTGTAAGTCTAGAATAATGTTAGAGATGCAAAAATGAACAAATTCCTTCCCTTCAAAATGTTCATAATGTAGTGGGAAAGACAGCCCGGTAAAAAGATAAATTACAATGTAAAAGAACAAGTACTAAAGCAGGGATTAAAGTCCTGTGGGGACATAAAGGTCTCCCCAATCACCTCTGAGGAGGGAACTCCTGAGTAGTCTTCAAGGACAAGCAGGAGAGTGCTGGCCAAAGAAGCCGAAAGGCAAACTGTGCCGAGTGCTGAGACATGTGTACAAGCCGGGGAAGATTCCACCTGGTTGTGCAGTTGGGAGGAGGCAGGAGGGAGAGCAGAAATGAGAGAAACTCAGTCAGGCAGGATACAGCCACATCATGCAAAGCCTTGTATGACAGAAGTTGTTTTTAAGTCACATGGTTAGCTTTTGAAACTTTCTTTTCCTGAGTACTGTTTGATAAATTTAACATTGCTACCTTTATGTTCTATTTCAAAAGGTCAGAAATAGGAAACACTGATCTGCAACTAAGCTTCTGTCAATTGCTTTTTCCCTCCTCAAACATAATCCCATTTGCCTCTGGAGCCCAGTGACGGCGTGGAGAAAGGCAGCTTTAATTGGGGTGTATGCCTTCACAGAGGCACTCGGCTCCACTGGGGTAAGGTCAACAAACTAACCCCCAGAGGAAAAAACCATACTGGAGAAGGACATTTGAAAACGGCATTTAGTCACCTCTGAAATACCTTTAAGACCTAACCCCCTGCTGGCTGACCAAAGAGAGTGTCTACAGTCTGGGACCTCTTGACCCCACTTTCTGCAGGAAATCAAGCAAATTTAAACCTCCATAATTTACTCAAGACTCTGACTTCTGCCAGGAAAAAGGAAACAATGCTGGCAATTAACTCTGTTGCCTGATTAAATTTCCATCACGGCAAGATAGGGCATGGAGCCAGGCGCTCGGCAGCAGAGACCTAAAAAAAAGCGAAGCCCATCTACTGCAGCTGCACCTTCGGAATCGTGGTTATCAATACACCTCTCAAATATACTCAATAAGCTGTTCACTCAAAGATGGAAGGAGGTACCAAGAGGAGAAGTGTGTATCATCCTGATAGAGTACCGGCATTTCGCCAAAATACCATGTTCTCTCTTGCCCACCCTTTGCTTCTCACTCCTGCAACAAATATTCATTGTAGAAGCTTCAGTAAGAAATCCAGATGGTTAAACTGCAAGCGTATAAAAGTAATCCATAATAGCCATGGCAACAGTCAGGTCACAGTGCTCGCTTTAGAAAAGTTCTTTCCTAACGCTTATTTGGAAAGCCCTGGTGGATGAGCTAGTGGTGAGCAGACAGACTAGCGAGAGGGAGTTGTAGGTTCGGTTTTCAGGATGCCTCCAAAGAAGGCCTTGGGAGATGAGGCAAAGGGATTTTTCTCCTTCAAGAAAGAGATTCAAACTCTAACAACCAGGTGTGTCTTTTGGCAACCTCACACGAAGCAAGTTGTCCGAGCCCTTCCTCAAGTCCTGGTGTGCTTTCTTTTAGCGGAAAGGTCATGGTAGCCCCATATGACTAACCAAAACCATTCTAGCCAAGGTTACCTACTACACAAAACTTAGAGGAAGGTGGAGAGCAAACGGCCTTTGCTAACCATTCTGAAATGTTCCTACTGGAACTACTTGAGGATTATAAAGTCAAGAGTGAAGAAAACCACATTTCATTACCAACCAAAGGACTCTTTCAGTCTAAACCAACCCAATTCTAGACAGGAGAAATGAAGCTCAAAGCAAGATGATGCAAACTTTAATTCCCATTACTCACCATATCAGAGATTTTTTAAAATGTCACTATGTATAACTTTATGTGACAAGAAGAGAAGTAAGCAGATATTTGAGTCAACCCATATTTGACTTAAATAAAGGTATTTTGCCTGAGAAGAAAGAGAAGACAGGCCTGTTGCACAGAAGCTTTTGAGTCCCTGGTAATGAGTAGCCTTACCTATCCCTACCTTGATAGAAAGGGCAGTTTTCTTGGTTGTTTTGAAGTTATCAACCCTTACCTCAATGTGGTTTCAATTATGAATTACCAGACTAAAAGGGGGGAAAAAGCTTTGATTTATTCTTTTTTGCTCCAATTATGCATGATGTGTTTCCACTGAAGACTTTGAAAAGTATTTCATCATGCCTCTCATCCTGAAGTGGTCAGAGGGCAAAACCAAAAAGCGCTAACCCTTTCATTTCTCCTCTAGGTTCAAACAGACTCCTTATCAATGGCTGTAAGGCAGGGCCTTTGAAGCAAACAGAGCAATGAAAGGGTTAAGCATTAGCATCATGTTACTAACGTGCACAGGGGTGGTGTCCCCTGTCCAAAAGGGTGAGATGATATTTATGTTAATGGTTACTGGGAGATTTGAAAGGGGCAGTCAGTAATGTGGCCCGTGCTGCCTTAACCATTAAACCTCTTGCAGCCCCAATGACTCCGCAGCACACCCTTCTGGGCGTGCACTGACTTGGGAAACTGGAGAACTGTGGAGATCTAACAATGTCTTCAAGGAGGATCACGAGAGAAAAGATTCGGAACAAGTCTGAAGTCTACTTGCTGCATGATGTCCTTAATTCATTCCACCAACAAAAAATAACGGATTGTTCTGAAAAACAAGAATAACACTGATAGCTAAATTTCACTGACTTCACGTTAAACAGACATATGAAAGATGACGAAATCGCAGGCTAGAAATCCCCTTAGTGCTGCAGACTCAACTAAGGGAGAGAATAAATTATCAACTTAGAAGTCCTACAACTACTTGCAGTAATCTGTTCATAAATAAGTTTTCTCATTGGTGGAGCTGGAATGTATCTAACCACATTTTACTGTAGTCACAGGTGCTGCAACTCTCTGACATCCCAAGAAACTGAGCCATAGAGTCTAAATCAGGGTCACAGGAGCAGCCAAATAGTTCTACTATTAGTCTCTTTCCTCTAGGTGTGTTTAACATCTTTTCTTTTTCTCTCTCCTTCTGGAACTCTGATTACACATATGCTGGAATTGTTCTGTTCCCCACGTCACTCCATGACTCCTTCACATCTCTTTGTCTCCGTGGGCTGTATTCTGAATAATTTATTGGAACCTAATAATCTAATCTTATAATCTGAAGATCCTTGCAGGTGTCTGCCTTATTTATGGTTGTGTGGTTTTTAACTGTGAGCTGCTCATTTTCCTTAGACCCTTTGTTTGTAAAAATTATTTAAGACCCAGGTTAAAGAAGAGTTTCTCAAAGAGTTTGTGTCTACTTCTGCTGGTCCCTATCACCTCAGGCCCCGTTATGGTGCCCTCAGTCCTGTTCCCAGAGGCTCTGCTTCTCAGAACCCCCGGAACCGCTGCAAACCTCGGAGGGAAAGCTGCCTTCCAACTGATGCCAGACACTCCCGCTTCTCCCGTTTGGGTCCGAGTCCCCAGCGATTCGCCCGTATCTGGAGCTCAGAGTCTGAGACTCCCCCCTGACCGAAAACGACAACCGCGCTCTCAGCCACCAGCCCGCTTTGCGCGCGCACCTCCGCACCTGAGTATTTTCCACACTGCGCCTCCTCTGAGCCTCGGTGTGCTGTTATTTTTCCTTCTAGTTGAAGAGTCTCTCCTCAGCCAGCCTTCCTGCGGTTCTGGGTGATGTCCGTTCCGTCTTTTAGTTGTATTTTTGAAGTGGTTGTTTGCGGCAGCAGTCTGCGGTGTTTACCTATGCCGCCATCTTGGTCTCTCCGGTTGTGTGGTTTTTAACTGTGAGCTGCTCATTTTCCTTAGACCCTTTGTTTGTAAAAATTATTTAAGACCCAGGTTAAAGAAGAGTTTCTCAAAGAGTTTGTGTCTACTTCTGCTGGTCCCTATCACCTCAGGCCACTTTTAATCAAATTCTCCTCTTAAGGCTTATTTGGGCCACACATGTAGTATGAATTTGGACCACAAAGCCACGAAGGTGGCTTATGACTTCAGTTCTCAACATCTTGGTCAATACAGACTTACTGTTCTTTACTCTTTGACGATACAATCTTTTAGTTGCCATCCAGGAAGCCCGGGTTAGATCCTCCAGCTCACAGGCTTTAATCCTGGTCCCCTGTCCTCTGCTTCATACAATTATCAGGTAGAAGCTCCAGGTCATCAAACTTGCAAAAATCTCCACAGCAAAAGCTGGCTTTGGCTCACAATCACCTCCCAGAATACCTCGTTTCACTTTGTTTAGGGAACCAACAAATGTCATCCTTTCATACAAGCTTAGCAACAGGCTAAAGCTACTTTATAATACTTCAGTATTTTAGTTCTGTTGGGAAGGTCATCTAATCTATCATAAAGCCAGTGACAGAGTCTTCTTATATTTATACTGTCAATCTAATTGTGTACTGTTGTGTTTTCTATTTAATTCTGGGGTCAAGATAAAAACAATTACTAAGAAAATATGGCAAAGACTTCATCAAAAATTATTAGACTTAATAAATGAATTCGGCAATGTAGCAGGATACAAAATTAATGCCCAGAAATCTATGGCATTTCTATACACCAATAGTGAACTTACAGAAAGAGAGACTAAAAAAGCAATCCCATTTACCATCGCACCAAAAAAATTAAGACACCTAGGAATAAACTTAACTAAGGAGGTAAAAGACCTATACGCGGAAAACTACAGGACACTGAAAAAAAGATAGAGGAAGACATAAACAGATGGAAGAACATACCGTGTTCATGGATTGGTAGAATCAACATCATCAAAATGTCCATACTACCCAAAGCAATCTATAGATTCAATGCACTCCCCATTAAAATACCAATGGCATATTTCACAGACCTAGAATGAACTTTCCAAAAATTCATCTGGAATAAAAAAAGACCCT